ATATATATATATATATATATATATATATATATTACCGTGTCATCATCGTCGTCATTTTCAGTATTCTCATCATCTTCCGCATTATTTTTAGACAGCTGCCCTTTGATACCAGCATAGTTGTGCTGTCCAATAAATCAGATATAATTGAATTTATAAGAACAATTAACAAAACTTGCGAATATGATAGAAAACAGAAACTAAAGTAAATGTTACACAAAATACTATTAATATTATTTCATGAAAATAAATTAGCTTACCAAATCTAGCCATATTAAATATTCCCAACATTGATCATATGTAATTTCAATACTATGAAATAACTCCTTGTTTCGTATAGTTTGAACAACAAACTCCATGTAGCCTAAAGCATCGTTTACAGATCTTTTCTTTGTGCATACGATAATCTTATTAAAATTTGCAAAGACTATAATACAACCCAATGTTTTGAACTCTGCTATTAATTGTATGTATAATTTTTTCATGTAAGTATGCAGAGTACGGCGTAGAGCAGGATCATAAAGCAAAGCGTTTGAAGATCTCAGCCATCTATAATCGTATGAATACAAGCATGTATATTTATATAGTAAAATAACATATAATAACAAACATACCGATAAAAGTGGATCAATTGATAGTCCGCAAATACATTTTTATAAACGGATACTTCGAGTAGCCACGCATTCACCATGCTTCGCAATGTTTTGAACGCCGGATTGCACAAGGTAATTTCGTCGTAGATGGGAATTGTCGCGGAATCACCACCCATTGCCATGTCCTGTCGAATCCAAACTTACATAGTTACAATATCGGAATTATTGTTCCGAAAAGTTAGTAAATTGATGTAAATAAATTCTCAAGAAATTTTATTGTCAATTAGTTTAGAGAGATAGAAGCATATATTTCCAGAAACATATCTTAGTAGATATAAGACTAACCTGAACAGATGGACGCTGTTGATTGTGGAAAGCCACGAATGTACTGGTTCCGTCTATATCATGAATATGATGATACTGCAACAAAGCGTTGACCGCCAGACTTTCCATGTCCAATTGAATGCAAACGCTGGAATACGTGCCCGGATTGTTCGCAGCGCAGCTTGAGCTTTCCTCGAAGTCCGTCAGTAGTCTGTTATCGTCGTTCTCGCTGCCGCCTAAATCGGGTTTCTCTGTGGGCGAGCACCATAGGACAAAGTTGTTCCTGTGCAGATGTCTGGCATAGAATAAGTCCGCACCGAAGAGCGTGGGGTCCGCGGGTATGTTGCCAATAGGCGCGTGGAAGAATCGACATTGTTCCGCGATTAATTCGACGATTTGTTGACTCTTCAAATAATGCCTGACCATCATTTTTGCGCCCACCTTCTGCCACTCCAATGTGCCGTACAGATTTTCAACGTCCCGCACGTGGGTGCTAACGAGAGGAAATTCATTGAGAAGTGGCATTTCAGTAATCAACACCGTTCTGTCCAGGGCGGTTTGATTAATAATAATCGTAGCGCCGTGACCTTCGTTTTTATACGTCGTCAAGGCTGCCTGCAACGTACGGCATACCTGTTGAAAATTCGTTTCGACTTGTGCTACGAATTGCATGTTTTTAGGCAATCTGTTTATCTTGTCTTCACCATTCTGCTCCAGTATCGCCTTACGTTCGTGCGTGTACAATGTATTCATATTCGGCAGCTGATTGGAAGCAACTGAATCCAAGACAAATACATGAGCTCTCTTGCTGGTGCTTAAGAACAAACCCCACAATGCTCTTTGACGGTTTGCACTCCAATGATGATAGAGAAATATGTAATTAATCGACTCGGTTTGTTTGAGATACGGTTGAAAGGCGATGCTCTTGAATTCCAATTGATCCAGAATGAAAGTATCGGCTCCATCTGCCATTTTACGCGCGGCACGCGGATCGACTATGCACACACATCCCAGTTGCAATATAGCTCGGAATTCCAATGACATTTGTGTCTCATAAATTCCTTCAATTTCTGGTTTGCTCAAGTCCTCTAGGAGCTCTCGGCTGTGCTCTTGAAACAAAGATTCCGGTAGAGAATATCGATACAAATTGTACACCGGCCGAGAACGTGGTAAAGATTTAAAACTCTTCTTCCAGAGCTCGTTAGGTCCTGGATCGGGTCTCGCTTTACGAGTGTTGACGTAAAATACGCGGGGTACCACGAGACGTACTTGATGTAATTGCGTATCGACCAGTATCCACAATCGAAACATGCCAGGTTCGCCTGTTTCTGATAACTGAATGATTTGCCATGGATTTTCTAATAATTTTCTTTGAGTGCGTCTTAAGAAACCAGTCAAAGTAGACGTATTTTTATTTCGTATTACTCCCCAAGCTATTCCATCGTTCTCATCCGTTTTACTCTTTTTCTGCCGATGCTGTTGCCTCTGTTTAGCTTGGAAAGCCCATTTTTTCTTGTGAAATTCCAACCATTTGAGCCTCTCTTCTTTTGTTGTTCCTCTGGGAGGAGGTGAGCCTAGAGCCTCTTTCCAACTTTTGGCCCTAATTGCTTCGTCTTCCTCTGAATGTTGTCTTTTTCTTTTGTTAACAACTGAAACTGGATTTTTAAAACTAGTGGATGGTGTTGCAAGATCTTCTATATCACGAGATTCTTGAGTGCTGCTTGTATGAGAAATGTTTTTTTCTACTACAGTAAATATATCTGTAATTTTTTTCTGACGATGGGTCGTACTCTTCTCCGCTATTTTTTTATGTAACCAGGGTGGATGCTCCACTCGTGGAACTGGATTAAGTAAGCCTTGCATCGCCGCTGGTATAGTGATTATTTTTTGAATAGCGCTTCCGAGTCGTTCAATATAATAATTCCAATCCAAGATATCTCTTATGTCATCGCTGTATAAAGTAGAAACTTTCAACCACTTTTTCAAGTAGTGTCTTCGCACAGCTGGTTCCGATTGAAAGATAGCCAACGGTATCGCGCGTTCAGTAACAGGCGCGCTTTGTGGTTTATTCGCTATAATATATCTACAAGCTAAACCTGCATCTTTAACCATCTCATCGCCCAAGAATTCGGCTAATCTTTTAGCCGTAGAAATCGACGTGGATTTCTGAGCGCCATATTCTTCCAGTTTACGCGACATAGACTTGTTCTCAGATATCAGCTCGAACAATTCGGAATCAGGCATATTCGCACACTTACTATAAAGTAAATCCAACCAATAATCTGCGTCCTTCGCGACCGAAGCGTAACATTCTTCTAATGTGTTACCTTTTAAGAAAGATTCGAAAACAGAAGCTTGAAAAATCTTTATCAATTGCAGTTCACCTCTTCTTTTTACTTCAAATCCTTTTAGCTCGGCCAGCGAACCGTCGAAATTAAAAACTGCATATCGTTTTTTCAATTTCTTTCCTTCTTCTTTGGCAGCAGGCAATACCATCGCCAGATATGGACCGTCAACTTCGAAAAATATTGAATTTTCGTTTCTGATTTCGTATGTTAAATTATCTTTGTCCACAAGATCATGGTATACTTCATTAGTAAATTGATCCTATGTGAAAAATTAATTATATTAATTAAAAGAAAATGCGTATATTTCATTCATTTGTACATACCTTCACCATGAAATTAAGAACCGCATTCGGGTACGAGATCGTAAATTTCGACTTTTTTTCATGAGTAGTGTGAACTATAATAGAGTCTGGAAAAGACGCAGGTAATATACACCATATACCATCGGTATCCAGTTCTAATGGACGACCGATTTGTTCTATAATTTCTCTAGCTTTCATGATAATATGAGCCCCTGTGTAACATACAATGCCACCCATTTCCATGCTGTGCCATCGTGCTCTGTAATGCAATTAATTAAAGTTTAAATAATAAATTCGCACTAATAAAAACTATATAATAAAGTGTTACATTTTAATCATTTAATACTTATTCCATTTAAATGCTTACCCTTTTCTCATAACGTAGCCATAAAAGGAATTTAGAATACATTTGTGAGCAAGCTGAAGAGAATCGTACAAAACTTCTCTATTCTTGGCAGATTTTATGTCAGCGGCATCTCCTTTCGCGACTGCTGCTGCTACTTGCCGCTTCGCAACTTTAGTTAATGCTTTATACTCGTATCTTCTATCTCGAAATGCTCTCACAGTATCTACATAGAACGAATTTTCCTTCTGACAGATCGTTTGTGTTCTTTCTTCTGTTCTGGTAATTTTTACTTTTTTATAAGCTTTTTTACAATATTCTGTAAGCCTGTTCTTTTGAAGTGTAGCTTGCTCTTTCGTGGTCAATTCGTGGAAAGCTCTCTTTGTACCACCAGGAAATTGTGGTGGAAATCTTTCAGTTTCTAATTGTTGTTTTATTCTTTGATATTCGCCTAAACTTGCAGCCACTAAAATTTATTGATCAAGAGTAATAACTATAGCATAAATTGAGGAAAACAAATTTAATAATAATATAGATAACTTATAAATACAAAATAAGTATTTTACAAACTCACAATATTCGCCTCTCCACATCCATTTCATCTTCCTTTGGCAAAGAGCATCAGGTTTATTATAATCACATACCGCGCAGTCCATTTCATTTACTATAGCGGAAGGTTGCAATCTGTTAGTCAAAATTATATTGGGATACATAGCACCTACGTCTAAGTGATAAATTACAGGATTTTCTAATCTCAAAGGTTGATCTTTAAGTTCCTTCAATTTTCTTTAACTTCGTTTACTACTTCATCAAAATTTGTAACCATCTCGATTGGTACTTTTTCTTCTTCTTGTATCGTGTGTTTTAAAGCATTTTCTACACCACTGATTAATTGGTCTACGGCGCTCGGTACAATTTTAAAGCGACACGGGATGTCAGCTCTAAAAACACCAGATTCCAAAGCTTCCACATGTCCACCTACATAAGTTTCTTGGTCCAATAAATGACCATCTTTTGTCAATTTGTTTAATTCGGTTTCTTGTTTGTTTGGAAATATAATATTAGCTTTGAAAGCTTCTACCATAAGAAGCGATTCGCATAATGTGCCGGATCCTTTTCTGAGTACCTAAAAGTAAAATAAATGTAAATTATAATTTAAGAAAAATATATGTATATCAAGTAAAATAACATAATATACTTTTCTTACTTCGTCAGGTTCCATAGGAATAATAGTACATAATGCAAATATGAAGGGATGAATATACTTTTGGTAAAGATAAAATGTTGCCACAGCATCAGAGACGGAGTAGTTTGCAAGCGTTTCAGGTTCTTCCAATGCTAATCTGCACATATCTTCCGGATCAAGTTCCACTGGATCATATCTCAATTTGGCTTTGGCAACAGCTTTTAGATTTTGAGAACCCACTGGGAGATAGGAATCACGTCTCACCCAACTTCATGTAAGAAGTTTTATCATTTAAATAAGATAGTGATATTTAATGAAATACGAGATATGAAATATTTTATAGAATATTTACCACAAACAGTCCATATGCATGGCAGCTCTACTGACATAAACACCTTCGCGATTTTTATAAAAACCAATTCTCTCTTTCATATCCATATTATGTATAGCCGCTCGAGTTTCAACGAATGGCCAATCAAAGAAATCACCGTTGTATGTTACAAATATATGCGGCCTTATTTCATTAATATGATCGAAAAATTTTGCTATAGTCGCTTTCTCGTTAGGCTCATTAAATATTATGAAAGGACCTTCAAATTCCGGTTTTGGCGTATATTCGAAATCTTGTATGTCTGCAGAAATGAACTCTCTATTTGTTATTAAATATCCCTAAGAGAATGTATATAAAACATAAATACTCTTTAAAAACAAAAATATATTTATTTAATTATATGAAAAAAGATATATAAACATTACATATTATTTATTTTATAAAACAGGATGTATTATACCTGTCCATCTATCATATATGATATCATCATAATTTGATCGATATTGGCATCTGGAAATTTCAATGGCAACTTTGTAGTTTCAATATCATATGCTAAAACAATAGGTTCAGGTGGTTCAATCATGTCTTCCTTTCGTGTAATTACAGGTGGTTCATTTCCTCTACTTTTTACAGAATACCAAGTTCCACAAAAAATGTTAGCATCTATAGATACTCGGACATGATGGGGTACATCATATTCCCTGTACAATCATATTTAATTAAACATGTAACATATCATTGCAAATCAAGAAACAATTTTTTTATTAATCCAGAAATTCAAAAAGAAATAAATTAAATACTTTTGTGTGTGTATCTTTATATAAAAGAAATTAAAAAAGAAAAATATTAAAAATAAAATAATGAATCAAGTTAGGCATTAATATTGTTATATAAGCACAAAATAGACATTATTATTTAGCTTAACTTATTAGTCTTCTTAATTCTTTTTGTGATTTTTTTTTTACCGAATCTAGAAATTTATATTTAAAAAAATATATATACATTTACCTAATATCAAGAATATTATCCATGTGATCTAAAGTTTGTCTGCTATCTTGTTCGTTTGGTTGCAATGTAGTTGCTAGCATATCAGTGTAATAAGTGTTACTTTTTTCTCGCTCTTTGTTAACTTTAACAATGCGCATAATGTCACGTTTAACTTTTGTTAAATCAACAGTATTTGCAAAGGAAAGTTTTAAATATTTTTGTCTTAAACCAATCAAGTGATTAGGCTGAAATAATTTCCAAACAAAACGAAATAAAAAATCAAATTTTCTTAAAAAAATAGATAAACAATCCGGTATTCAATTTTTAAAATATTTTAATACAAGTAACTAATTAATTCAATATTAATTTACCAAGTCAAGATCTTCCTTGTAAACTGTTTCGATTTTCGTCAAGATTCCTATGTACTTCTTAGATAAAAATGTTGACACCTCTTCAAATGTATCTTTACGACATAAGATGTAAAAATATGGAGAAAATGGTAGTGACACTTTAAATCGGGTAGCATCTTCCTCTATGAAGTAATAATCCACGCCACTTAGCAGATGCTTATCATCCTCCACAATCTCCGTCTAGGCAGAAACATCAAAACCTTATATGCCAATTATATGAAAGATTATACGATTTCTTCTTCAATCTTCCTTACCGCATGCATATTAAGTAGAAATCCTATTCTTTCTCTAGAATCAATGACTCTATGGAATCCATACACACCGTCAATTCTGATGTCTTCCTTGATTTCAAGCAACCGTCCCAATGCATTTTCCCTGAAACGTTTGAAATTTAGAAAAACAGAACATGACGAAGATGAATAAAGGTAACAAAATTTCCAAATTACCCTGGAACACTGGCCTCTTGATTCGTATTTTTGTTGAATCTTTTAGGAAAACGAACAGCCCCCGTGTTTTGCAAACTTTCCATTTCAGATACACAGTGAATGAATTAAGAATGATATTTCCTCGATGTATGTAGAAGATAAATATTAATAATCAAGAAGTAACAATGCAAAAAAAATCTCCAAGATAGCAAATACGTTCACATGTATAAATTGTCATCATCGCACACGTTTCTCAGAGTTTGTCTGATGCATACCGTCACAGCTGATCAAAGCCCGCCTTTTTCCATCACTTCTGTACGCAGCGCCATCATTGGCGAGAAGTCATTTTCTGATTGGCGAATTGTCCTTAGAGTGGGATAAAAGCCGTCAAATTTAAAAAAGAAGAAATTAAAGCTTTATATTTTATACACCCACTACGGTAAGCAATAGACCTGTTTCTTTTCTGAAACTTTTTCATTTTCTTCTTTTTCTTTCTAATGTGAAGAGAAAAAGAGAAAAGATGGATGATGCAAAAACTATCAGTTAATTTTCATTTCTATCATTTCTGTTAGATTAATTTTGATTTCGATTAAATTCTTTCTATTTTCACTTTCTATTTTTATATGATTCTATGAATTAGGACAAAATAAAAAATAAATTAAATCGAGACAGAATTCAAACAATTGAAAATAAAAGTAAAAGGAATAGAGCTATAGGTTCACTTTATGAGCATTCCGTGTCGATTGATTTGATCACAGTGGCTGAATTCCATAAATCATGGTTTACAATAGGTTAAGCCATAAGAAATGGATAAATCATAGTCGAAGAATAGCAAAATAATCGATTAGAACGCATATGTGCATATTTGGTTACAATATACATAAAATGAATTATTATTATTATTAAATAAATGCGTGCATATTGTGCTTAATATAATAATATAAAAGTACTTCGAAAAAAAAGTGGAATTGCGTGGTTCCTCGCGCAGGTCATGTTTTTGTTTGGATCTAATGAAATTTAACGCAATAGAAACGTACCTACTATAAAAATTTGTGAGAATAAAAAATATGGATATATTATACATGTGGACTAAAAGTGACTTTTAGCTAATCGGAAGGCTTATAAACTACTTTTAGAGATGTTTTTAGCGATAAAAAAAGATTCAAAATACAGATCTATATTTATGATAGGGCACTTATTATTTTTATATGCATTCCTGGTTTTAGAGTATTAACGTGGGGTGGAATAGTCACGTGATAGACGAAAGCACAAATCAAAAGTATCCACATGGAGTGCTCATATTGGTGATACTGTATTAATATATAAAAGTTTATGTGAAATTATCAAAAACAAAATTATTATTTCAAAATTCTCGGCTATGATTAATTTGTTTACTGTTAAAGGTTTACTGTTCGCGTTTCGGTGTCAGTAGTCTAAATAAAAGCGATGAAAACAACAAGTGAGTCACATTTGTAACAGTCACTTTATTCGAGCAACAGCAAAGTCTTGATAATTATTCAGTTAATGTAAGATTTTAAAATATATAATTTGTTAAGAATACAAAAGAAAACGATGATAATTTTTAAATATCATTACAGTTAATTGATCGTCTTGCCAGTGTTTAATTACTAAAAAATCCTGTAAAGTGAATAGGAAGACATCAGCTGAATCATTTGAAATATACTAACAGAGGACACACGACAAAAATAATGGACGAACAGGTAAATTAAACATTTTCTTTGTTTCTTTTTTTCTCATTTTAACTGAAATAATTGAATTTTATATAATAAACTGTATATAAATAAGAAAGTACTTTTTTTAATATTAAAGAGAACTCTGACTATACAAAATTTTAATATTCAACTTAAAGTTTATATCAATAAAATAGAATATATTATGGGATATATAATTCTATTAATCATTTATTTAATTTATTTTTTTTGTATTAAAATATTATATTAAGAATTTACTTTTTTAAAGGAAGATATAGTAATTATGTTGTAACATTAGTAAATAAGTTTATAATTTTCAGATGTTACTAAACAAGAAAGAAGAAGAAGAAGAAAAAGAAGAAGAAGAAAAAGAAGAAGAAGAAAGGCTTTCTCCTTCATCAAGCATCCTTACTCCTTCATCAAGGAAACAGACAACACCTGTATTAGATGTTCCTTCTTTTGGTAAAAGTTATTGCCTGACACAGCTCATATCAACTAAATTTGATTTTACTTGGGAAATTAAAAATTTTGTTTGCATTACTAAAATGGCAGATAGATTAATTTCTCCACCATTTCCACAAAAAAGTCAATTTATTATTGAAATGTACATCATACATACAGAAAAAGGAAATCTGATACATTTGTATTTAAATAGTAAAGTAGAGTTTCTAGGTTCATGTGAACTTCACATATTTTATTCGAAAACAAACCGTATGACAAAATTAACGGAAATGAGTATATGCTCGACTAAACATTTCTTGAAATTATATGAAATTGAAGAAGACACGTTTCGTAAATATTTACATACAGAAAATACAATTACAATGCAATTCGTGTTTGAAAATTATTGTAAAATTCAAAATGATACTGTACATGCCAATGTAGTTACATCATGTCCAATATTCCCAAATGAACAAATAATACATAAAAATTCAATTCTCTGCAATGATTTTACATTCAATAATATAAAATCAATTACATTTAAAATACAAGAAGAATATTATACTGTACCTATATATCTATTACGTGCGTCTAATAGTAGTTTTTTTATGAACTTTTGTGATACAGAAAAAGATGTAGACTTAGATGAATTGATACTAGATGACGAAATAGAATATTTAAAGGATATATTACATTTTTTCATAACAGGCTCATTACCAACAGATATTAGTGGTTATTTCGATTATCATGAGCGATTATTAGAAATAGCTCATAAATATGATGTACGTGATGTTAAAAAAATATGTGAAGTATACTTGGTAGATAATATTACAATTAAAAATGTTATTGAATTGGCACGAAAGGCGCTATCATATGATGCAGACTTCTTAATATCGCATATAATAAGTTTCATTAAGATTCATTTCCAAAAAATTGCAAATAGTGTACAATTTAAATATTTATCTCATGAAGATTCAAATAAGATAATGGAACTAATCAAAGTAAATGAAACATCTAGAAGCCATGTTGTTGAACCTATATTGTCTTCT